AGGCATTCAAAAATCTTGGTTGAGAAGAAAAATGGAACTAATTTTCTTCCTAGTATAAAATCCAGTGACTAGTGTCCAGCTGGAAATGTCTACATAGATTTAAGGACATTGATAACCAAAAATTACTCCTGTGTTTTATAGAAAAGAAATTAAGTGACTGCCTTGAAGACAAAGTAGTGGTGGCCAAGGAGTTGGCACATTGTTTCAAGCCTTTAGTTCAAGTCCTGTGGTCCCTCAGTGTCTGCCAAGCCTCTGTACACACCCCCCACTCATCTTCATGACAACCTGCTGTGTGGCTGTGTCATTCTTCCGTCATAAAGACTGAAATTACATGTGCACAAGGTACATCTGTCTTTTCCAGAGCCTCAGCAGCTCAAGTCCTAATTAGATACTGGTCCTTCTGCCCCAAATTGCTCACCCTGAGCCCCAGACTGTTCAGCCTCCTGTGGAAACCAGAAGTCCTATCTCTGTGACTTGCTGCCACTACTACATCCAAACAGAGTGAAGTCATGGCCAAGGCAGCCCTCAGCACTGGGCCTCCTGCACTGCTGACCGGCTCCATCCATCTATTCCTCCATTTCACACTTCAGTATGCTCTGAGTTGCTGGCACTATGTGACCTGCAGGCCATCCAGGAATTGATGACTGCTGATGGAGCTCATGCACCAAGCTCTGGTGCTCCTGAATCAGCCTTTCCAAGAGATAGGATTCAGTGTTGCTGGCACCCAGACCCGAGATCCAAAAATCTTGTTCTCTATTCTTCACCCAATAAATCTTGGAATCAAAACAACTTCCCAAAACATTTTGGATTTTTAGCTCATAGCCAACTCTCAAATTTTTCTTCAAAGTCTTCCTACCCTCAATGAAGTTTATATTTGCTGGGGAGGGAAATTTGCTTCCTCTACACCTTTGTCACTTGATACACTATACAGTAATAGAATAGATTACATCTTTTCTTCATTGCATTTGAAAGATATTTTAAAATAGATGCATCCTTTTAAAATATTTTATTTGGTCCTTATTTCATTGGGAATCAATGTAAAAGAATATGTTTATTTGTTTTTCTAAAATACACTGTTAAAGAATTTTTATTTCAAAAGCTTCATCAACTCCTTTGAAGTATTTATAGAGTTGAAAGAAAGGCAGGGTACCCACATTTCTGGCAGCGAGCCAGCTGCAGTAAGAGTTCAAAGGCTGTGAACCACATCAGAACTCTCCAAGTGGAACACCTGGATGGGGCGGACCTGGACAGGTGAGATTTGAGAAAGAGCAGCCAGAACTGAAAGAAGAAAAGGACGCAGGTTTGGTAATCCTCAGACTAGGGATCTCCCAGCCCACATCCACAGCAGCCCCCGCCCCACCTGCATCTGCTAGAGAAGTAGTAACATACTGCAAAAAACCCTGTTACCTCAGATATGGTTGATGTAAAATACTAACCGCATAGAATATTAGCCACCATTCTGCTTCTGTAGACAAAAATGCAAGTGACAAAACAACGAGGAGGTAATCGTCCAAAATAAACTTTTCATATATCTGGGGTCAGCCCCTAAAATTAACAGCATGTTAAATGTACCCACCAGCTTGCTATGTCTCTACCTAGAACTGTTTTGCAGAGAGAGAGAGAGAGAGAGAGAGAGAGAGAGAGAGAGAGAGAGAGAGAAATGCAGCCCAACTGCTAAGCTGAGAAACAGATGGGAGCCCCTGCCTTGGGTGCACACAGCAGCCTTTCCTGGACAGGAAAGATGGGCAGGGTGAAATCCAGTCACAGCACTGCAAATAGGAGAGACTTAGAGATGATCCCCAGTAGACTCTTTTTTTGGAGGTAAGAAAAGTGGTTTTGAGGTTTTCAGGAGCAGTCTATTAGTTTCATAGCTTAATGCTCTGGTCTAGATCCTACTCTCATGCTGTGGCTCCATACAACTTACTTTAGACCACACTACTTCTTGGTTCTGGGTTTGGTTTACCTTTGCATTGCCTCACACCCTGCCTGTTTTTATTCAAACCACGAGTCCAGGTTAATGTGCAAAGCAAGCTGCATTTCTGCCTCGTCCATTGCTAACACCAGAGTCCATGGTGCATGCTGAAGAATGGATTCATTCATGGAGCACAGGTGAGTGATAACATTATGAGATCAAATACTTAATCATGCAAAATTTACGTAATCATTCAGATTACAGTGCAAAAATTAAAGTTACCTGCATGTCACATCATATTGATTTGACCTACCCATTTGGATTGCACATAAAAGGTAGAATCTATTTGTATGGATTTTGGCTTTGTTGATTTATTCATTTAAACACTGTTTTTTAACATATGCACTGCACAGCATTGAGTGTTTGAGAAGAATAATAACTACAATTTACTGGGTGCCAGCCACATGCCTTGTAATTTGTATGCATCACCAGCCCCTCTCACAGTAGCCACCTAAGTAGAAGTGATCAATCCCATTCTAGAGAAGAAAATGCAGGAGACTTAATTTTGGGCCACTTAGCCAAGGTCACCCCAGAGCTAGGCTTTGAACCACACCTGAGCCCAAAATCCAAGGTCTGAGATACACCTTTCACTGGCCACTGATGCAGGATAAACTATCTATGTGAGCTAACTGGAAATACAGTTCAATGAGTGTTTTAGGAGAGGCACAAATATCCTTCTATGGAACCGAAAGGAAGAGAGATTACTCTTAGGTGTGTGTAGAGTCTTTGTGGAGACTGAAGCATTTGAGTTGAGCCTTGAGGTATGGAATTCATATAATGAAGACAAAGAAGACAGAGACATACAGCAGAAAGCTGAAGAGGCTCCACCTCCCAGGATCTTGGAAAGTAGCAGGACATAGCCAAAAGATGATCTAGAACATACAGGGTTGTTGTTTATTTTCTAGAGATAATAAAATATGAAGAAGGCCAATCTTTATCCTAATGGACACATTCAATCCTATTTTGGAGCACAACTTCCCTAAATGTAATTCAAACTTCATAAACGAAAAAGACCTGTCAAATGAGGGAAGGGAGGAGGCTTAGACTGTGTTCCCTCGCTGCTCCCAAACCTGCCTCCATGGGAGGTCATATGGGATCTGTCTGATCCAGCTGTGTGTTCAGCCTCTCCAACAGAACTGAATCCAGAACCCCTGACTGGGCCATTTTCACCTCTCTGTGATTCAAGTTCAATCAACATTATCAAAGATGTGTGGCTGCCTCCCAGCCACAATTGTTACCCACTAAAAACGTAAGTGCACTGACAGTACACATAGGACCTTTGTTTGTCACTTGTCCATCCAACCAACAGCAGTCACCAAGAGTCCACTGGCAGGTACTTGGCCAGGTGCTAAACACACAGTACTGTCCTCATGAAAACTACATTTTGGCCTAACTTTCCAAAGCAGAGTGGGGCTGGGGTAATTAAATGGACGCAGAAAACACAAGGATCTGTACTCATTTTGTGCCTCCACAGGGGCTCTGAGAAGCAATTCCCTCACGGACATCCCACAACTGATCAGGCTGGGGATGACGAGGCGCTATGTTATTAAATGTAGAATCATCCTGACTTATCCCACATCCTGGCCTTTAACAGAGACAAACTTAGCTTCCTATTATGTCTACACATGGAAAGTGCTGGGTGGGGTGGAGGATCGTGCTAGTTCACAGCACCACTAAACCCAAGGAATAAAGGTCTTGAGGTCACATCAAGAAGCAGGGCCATGTCAGGCTCGGTGCCGCTCCAGGTTCTTCTCATTGACAGTACAATGCCCACATCATGGGCCTGTTCCATGGCTCCCCTGAGCCTTTTATTCGCCACAGACCCAGAGCTTGTGCTGGGAACCCTGGCCCAGTCCAGTTCATGCACAGAACTCTACCTGTACCATGAATGTCAAATGATGGTGGCGGTCAGAGCCTGCCTTTGCTTAGCACCCCAGTTTTGGAAAGACCCCCCCCACACACACAGTTTACATGGGCATGATCCTTATGTTTCCGAATGACTCACCCAACTTTATACAGACCCCCAAGCACCCCCCATCAAGGGGCACGTGGGGTCAAGGGCAGAGGTAACTGGACAGAGACAGTAATTTCTAGAACACAAGAAATTGCTGATTTTCCTTCAACTCAGCCATACTCTCATTCACTCTACAACACAAGCCCAGGGCCATAGTCTTTCCTTGAGTTTCCTGTATTGAAACTCTTGACAGAGTGGTCATAACTCAAGACAAATCAATAATGTAATTCTGCCGGTATCATTGTCTAACATTTCTAAAAAGATTTACCACACCTGGGAGGAATGTAAATCGGGTCCTGCATCATCTCCAGGGGCTTAGCTCTGCCTCTACACCCTGTGGGTTGCCCAGCCTTGCCCAGATGGTCCCAGGGAGCAGAAGGACTGGCACCGCTGGCCCCTGGCTCCGGGAGCTCGTCAGGGTACCCACACGGCAAATCCTGGCAGTCTTCCCTCAGCACCTGCAAGGGTCTCTTTACGAGTTGCCGAGCTCCCCGCGTGTACCCTACTCTGTCCCCCCACCCCCCCACCCCGACTCCGAGGGCAACATCCCTCCAGCGCCCCCACAGCGACTGGAGTTGGCAACTGGAGTCACTTTCTGGAAAGGCTCCAGTATCAATCCCTCTGCGCTGCCCCGCACACACCGGCGGGCACTTCTCTCGACCGCGTTCACACACGTCGCCCTGTCACAGTTCCCCTCGCACTGTCGCCACCCGCAGACGCACGCTCTGCTCTTCTTCTCACCGAAAGGAAGAACAAGGGCTGCTTCTGTGATCACCAAGTTGGACTGAGGACTCTGGGGGAGGGGATGCGCCTCGGGCTACTGACCCAGGGTCGCGAGGAGGTCCCCGCTGGCACCAGGTGCACTGCGAAGGTGGCAGGGACCCGACTCGAACCAAGCACCCCAGCCCGGCCTGGCCCTCACGCGAGGCGGTGTCCTTGGCCTGCTCCGGCCGCCCGGGGCGCACGGCCACCGCAGGGATGCACGGCCACCAGACCGCACCGCGCGCCGCTCACCTCGGGGGGGGCCGGTGCTGTCGCGCCGATCGCGCCGCCGCGGCTCCGCATCTCCCAGGCGGCCACCCGCCGCCCTCCGGGAGGCCCTGCGGTCCCCGCCTGGTGCGAGAGAACGTAGAGGGGACGCACGCAGGCAGCAGGGTCCTGGCGCCGCTTGCGACGCCTCCTGCCTCCCGCCGCCCGCCGCCCGCAGCCTAGCAGGAAATTTGTCCGGCCAGTCCCGCCGCCTACTCGGCTGTCGCTCGGGCTCCAGCTTGTGGCGGGGGCGGGGGGCCCTGGCTCTGCGAGGAGCGGGGGCGACGCCTGGTGTCTGGAGCGGGGAGCGCACCCAGGGCGACCGCCCTTCCCAGGGAGGTGGCGCCGCCCACCGAGCATGACCTAGAGGGCCTAGAAGTACCCAGGCTCCCTGGAAGTCGCTTACTCAGGCTGGTGCCCCTTCTGGGGGGCCCTGGCCCAACCACTCTGACCCGACACAGGTGCCTAGGGAGGGTGCCACGGTGTGACACGCATTCATACCAGCGGGAAGGAAAAGTCCAGGCCCTTCCTGTCCAGCGTTGGCTCTGGGCACCAGGAAGTGAACTGACTCAAGACATGCTTGCAGGCACCAGCTAATAGTTCTGTATTGGGGGAAGTTAGCCGGGCTATGAAATCTCCTGAGCATGATGCTCTCCCTCATAAAGAGGGAATGAGGGTGTTCCTTGGTGTAGGAGAGGACTTCAGTGTCAGTAAGGCAATTTCTGGCAAAGTTAAACATACAAGAAGAGACACACAAGGGAGGGTGTGTTGTTCTGGGGATTTCTTTCCTGGTGATTTCATTTCGACTATTTAGAGAGATTTCCGAGAGGAGGAAATACAGATAGAGTAGGCCATCTGGGTTCTGAACCATGGTGCTGTGCCCTGTGGTTGGACCAAGGTCTGGCCGTCGTGGGGGATGCTGCATTCTGTGGTAGAGACCTTGCTCATTAGACTTATGAATGACTAAGGAATGAATGGATGAATGGATGGTGAGAAAGTACCACGTAGTGGTGTCATCCATCCTGCTTTAATAGCCGCAGAAGACTCTTGAGACACTTGGGTCCTGTGGGGACAGAACTGCAGACCCAAAGACTGAAGATAGCCAGGAAACTACTGGCTGAGACCCTCCTCAGTTGAGCTGCTGGGAATGACTTTCCTCCCACGGGTACAAAGAGCTGCGGAGCCAGTCAAGAAAACGAACTCAGCCTTCCTTCCCTGCCCCTTCACCACCTGCCCTTGGGTCCTATTCAGAGCTGTAAACACCGTCATGCACCAAGAACTCAAAATTTTGCAGTTTTGGGGTCCTCTCCTCCATGCTCAACTTCTCCTGGCATTTCCAGTAATCTCAGATCTAAGTCTTGCTCTAACTCGATCATCCCTGTCTCCAATTCCACCTCTGCATCTAATCCATATCCCAGTCTACTTGTTATGTAGCTTCTCTGGAAATGTACCCTTCTCTTCCTTCACTATCTTCACCTCTCCTATAACTGCAGTGCTCCCCAACCTCAGACAGCTTAAAAGCCTCCATTCAGAATGAAACCCAAACTGCCACGAGGTTCTGCCTGACTTGCCAGCTGATCTCAAGCTCCTGCACACCTATTGCAGACATTCTCCTTTCTCTCAGTGCAGAGCCAAGCTCCTTCTCTCTTTGCTGCCTGGGGCCTTTTTCTCCTTTCCTTTTTTGTTTTTTTTTTACCAATTGCTTATGGAAGGTGCCCCCTCCTCTCTGCAAGTCTCTTCCACAGTCTGCATTATGGTGTGAGATTATTTATGAGTTTATTAGCTTCTTTAGTGTCTGTCATCCCACTTCCCTTGCCCCCAGGGCTGAAGCTGCAGCACCCTGGGCTACCCTGTCTCTATCCCTGAGCTCAAAACCTTGAGCTCCCAGCCCCCTCTATAGCCAGGAGGTTCTCAGTGAGATCATGTGGGCTGGCAGAACAGAAGAGGATGGGCCCCAGTAGATAGCAACAGATAGCCTCGTTCCCTGGGAACCCAGTGTATGTGTGTGTGTGTGTGTGTGTGTGTGTGTAGGGGGATCTTTCTGAGCATGCCCTTGGCCACATTGGATGGAGCCAGGTGGCCCTGGATTTTCCTGCTGTTACAGCTGCAGAGGCAGACTATATACAAGAAGCCAATGACTTCAAAGCTCTGATAAGCACAGTTTTGCTTGTTAACACTGCAGTGCTGGGGAGGCAGAGACTGTGATCCACCAAGAGAGAAACACGTTGCCTTTGTCAGACATCTGCTGCTGAAAAGTGAGCAGCCTTGGGAACATGATGAGGAGGCAGATGGTTTTTTTCTCCTGATAACATCCTCCCTGCTGGACCCCAAAGATTCTTCTAGGAATTAAGCAGTGTTCCTCGTTGTCTTCCGAAGTCTACAGACATCATGTCATGCAGAGAAGCAGGTTGTCACAAGCACTTAAGCAGAGTGTATTGATTCCATAAGGAAGCTCCTTGATCCTTCTTTACCATCTTCATTCCCCTCTCATGGTTCCAGTCCCTTTTGGCACCAGAATCACTCCCCCCTAAAGTAGCTCCAAGAACATCTCCTGCCTCTTGCTGAACACCTAACCACTCTCATCTTTTAGGACTCCTGGGCATAGCCCTTCTCCAATCCGAAGCTTCCTCTGCCTGTCCAAGCCCACCTTAGGCCTGCCTGATGCCATCCCCTTGCCCATTCTCAACTCTTCCTCTGCACTCAACCACCATAAGTAGCTCTTTCCTGTAGGATACCGCTCCAGGTAGTATTCCTATGACTGTTAGCATTTCCTGTAGGTGTGTCTTGTTTTCCCTCATATTCCAGGCCTGGGCCTTTGTACTTCTCTGCGGTAACTTGGTAGCGCTATCATGCTTACTTGGGTCTGTCAGAGTACAAATGCTGAGGCTAGAAATGCTCTTTATGAGGATAAGCAATAAAAGGAAAAATTGATGTTTGCAAAGTAAGAATTTGCTTTTAAACAATATACAGAAATATTAACTTAAAATTATTCAAGTTAAGGAGAGAAAAATCAGACCTTGGTGACTGGCTATGAGAAAAGTTGACAAGAAAAAACTGAGACAGTACTGGTAACTTTTGTGACTGTGTTCAGGACCTACCTGTTCTTTTCATAAGGGGAGTCGGTGGGGATAGTTATCTGATCTCTAGAATGTACCAGAATAAATAATTCTAATGGATCAAGTACTTTTAATTTTTATATTACCACAATTCCCACTCACCCTCTTTTTCCAAGTTATGCCTACATACTAGCATTTATTACTCCCTGAAATCAGGACCAGCCCTTTACCGGAATATTCCTCTACTTGTCCAGAAAAAAAAATAGCCATACTTTATTCTAGGTCCTCACATGTTAGTACTTTTTTTTTAATTGGATGGTTTTTCATTGATGAATAATATGCACATACTGTATAGATCATGGTATCACCTATCAGCCAATATTTCTTTTGCTTAACTTCACGATGGAGTGGCAGGATCCAGGTTGGCCTCCTGGTTTGGAGAAATCAGTAAGACAGAAAACAATACATAAAGGAATGGTTTCCAGACCTTGGCCATCAGGCAGTACAGAGATGTGCTCCCTGAGAAAATGGAAGCAAATAAGGTAAGACCAACAATTGTCCCAGGAGGTTTCCAAGGAAGGAATTCCAGGTCAAGCTGGGAAACCGAAATGAATTCTGCAACCTTCTGCAGTGGGAGAAAAAGAGGCCAAGTTTGGGGAGGCCGAAGTGGCCAGAATTTGCGGTAAGTGGTGGAGAAGACAGAGATTCAGAGTAAGCAGTAGAGGTGGACAGAGGGATGGATTCTTGGAATCTTTGTTTGATTTTCATGCACACACATGAGAACAAGCTATGGAAGAGCAGAAAGACAGCACTGGAAAGCAGGGTTACAGATAATTCCAGGAGTTTACACAGGGCTGGGAAGAAAAGTCTTGTAACAGAGAATCCAGAAAGAGAGCTACATAAATACAATCATCTTCTACTCTACTTTCCGAAGAAGACACCAAGAGAATTTATTAGGAAAAAGATAACCTTTTCAAGAAATCAGTGTCCAACAGTTGTATAACCTCATTTCTAAAAATGAGCCTCAGGCTTACCTCATTCTATATGCAAAAACTAACTGGAATTGGACCATACATTAAATATAAGAATGAAAATTATAAAATCTCTACAAGAAAACATAGAAAAAATATTTGCAATCTTAGGGTAGGCAAATATTTCTTAATATGGCATTTAAAGCATAAACCATAAAAGGAAAGGTTTGATAAATCGGACTAGCAAATTTTAAAATTGTGCTCTTCAAAAGATGTTAAATGACAATTCATAGATTATGTGTAAAAACTTATGGGATCTGGCCAAAACCATAATAGAGAGGGAAATTCATAGTTTTAACATGTTTCATTATTAATGCAAACAATAATAAGGAAATAAAGTATCCATTTCAAAATATTAGGAAAGGAAAAGCAAAATAAAAGATGGCAAAAGAAGAGCAGTAAAATCAAAATTCAATACCAAAACGAAGCAGAACAATACAGATATACAGAAAGGAACAGAGAACAAACTAGAAATCCAACTAGTTCTAGAACTTCCTGAGTTCTCATTATCACCGTCACTTTGAGATAAACCTATATTCTAATCAAATACAAAACTTTTCTGTCTTAAGAAATTTTGTGTGCATATATATATGTATATATACTTTATAACATTGAGTTTGGTATACCTTATATAGAAAGTGTAAGGTAGAAGAATGAAATATTTGATTAGTCCTTATTTACACTTTCAGTTTCTCACACCAGAGAAACTATTTGGTATTTACACATGTGTGTCCTATTTATTTCACTTAAGAGGATCACCTCAATGTGCATCCATTTAGCTATAAATGTCTCTAATTTCTCATTTTTATGGATGAGTAGTACTCCACTTTATTTTTTAAAAACCCACATTTTCTTTATCCAGTCTCCAGTTGACAGGCATTTGGCTG